AACTGCCACCGAGCAGCCTAATGCAGCCTCCTGCCAAAGCCGAGCTGGGCAGCAGGTGAGGTTTGCTCAGTGTTTCTGTGGGGTTTGTCTGGTTTAATGCTGAGCTCATACACAAATTGAGGAGGGCAGCAGAACAATAAAGCTGTGTCAGCACAGTTCTGCTGCTGCTGACTGGAAGGAGACACATGGGAGCAGAGGGAAGGGTCCTCCACTTACACAAATCCAGTGAGGAGGGACAGGAATTGTTCTGGCTCAGGCCTTATTTTCTCTGACTAGACTGAAGTCCTCTGCTTTCCTTTGGCAACTATGTTTTTTGGGAAGCAAAAAGGCTCTTTTCTCATAAATTGCTTTTCTTGGAATTGTCAGTTTACTTACTCAATTTTAAACATTTTTCTCTGGAAATATTTGGAAATAACTTTCATTAGTTGTGTGAGAAATCTCCATTTATTTCTCTACTTTTTATCTGAGATTTTGGTATTTAAACGTGAAGTTTTATGCTGGTAATGTCAGCATCTTGTAACATCAGCAGTTAGTGGGAAATCAGCAAAAATTAAAATGAGGGTTTAAAGTTACACATCTTTGTCACGCTGGTGTCAGGTTCTTTATTTTTAAACAACACTGAAATCTGATTCTCATTGAAGGACGTTATATTTTAGCTGAAATCATAATGCAGTTTTAAAATCTGAGACTTCATGCTAATGAAAGAAGCAACAGGACTATTTGTGGGTCATTTGTTTTTTGGTTTTGGGGTTTTTTTTTTAGGGAATATTTAATTTGCATCAATCCAAGGTAAAATTTGCAGAATGTTTCTGGTTAAAACCAGGCACAAAAAAAAGTTCTCTAAGAGCCATCGATTGGAGTGCTTCAGTAACTCATATAAAGTGGTACCACTCATAAATAAGAGGTCAGCCTCTATCTTGGCTGCAATGCTGAAAGAGCTTTACTAACTTGCATCATTATGAATTTTTGGCTGAAAAACTTTAGAGTAAGAACTCTTTCTGTGGAGATTGTGTTCATTTTGAGGTCTCATTCTTTTGCGTTTCATGAAACAAAATCACAAAATTTGTCTTCTGATGTAAGTGTTAACTGAGCAGTTCATCTTAGTGAAGGAGTTTGAGTTAGGATTTGTAAAAAGTTATGATTTGTAAGAAGATCACTTAGATTTTTTTTTCTGTATGTATTTGGGTGAAGATTTTGTAGTGAAACTCACTTTGTATGTCAGTTAAGGTGTTTTGAATATCTGCTTTTGCTTGGCAATATTGTTGCTCATTGTGTTCAGAAGTTTATTTACTGTGTTCAGCTTGATGTGTTCAGAAGTTTATTTACTTGGTTCTGTTGTGTTGCTTGTTTGGGTGGGTTTTTTTGTTTTGTCACCTAATTTCTGCCTTTGAGATGCAAATAGGAGAAGGCACCCCTGGTGATGGATCCTAGAAGTGTCCTACTTACCCACAGAGCTGTGTTTCTGAGAGGTTTCTACCTCCACATGGGAGGTGGGGATGCTCCAGCAGTGTCACTGCTGGCAAAAATCCCTTTCACCATGTCACTTCAATTGCACTGTGCAGAGAGTGCTGCTGATGGGGACTTGTCCTACTCCATTTTCCCTGCTTGCCTGGAGGTGTTACACAGGGCCCACAAGGGCAGCAAAAATCCCTTCTATCTTTTTCCTTAGAGCAGGAAAAATGCCTTTCTGATGTGGGTGGAGGGAGAGTGGGTGGTTCTCCTTGGCTGGTTAGGAAACACTGCTTTTATGTAATCTCTTTTCACACTCCAGCCATGTGTGGAAAATAAAGTTTGGGTGTGGACATAATATCTTTCCATTAAGAGAACCTGGGAATTCAGTGGCTGCCATAGGGCTGGCATGGGACTGTGTTGGGTAAATGGAAGCCACAGCTCAGGAGGAGTTTTTGCCTTGTGCTGTCTAAAGGAAACACTGAAAAATGAGAGCCCATGCTCTTAAACCTAGTGCCCTTCCCCAGAAACTGAAACCTCTGTCTCTGGGGCTGGAAAGAGTTCAAAAGATTTTAAATGTGGAATTTTTGGTAGAGATTGCAGCTGGCCTTTGGACAGGAAGGGAGCAGCACCTTTCAGGGCTGACTTGTGTGTTTTCCCCTTCACCTCCTTGCCCCTCAGTGGACTCTGCTGTGTTTGTTTGCCCTTCCTCCTGCATTTCCACCTCCTCTGCCTTGGTGTTGGCTTCCCTGGAAGGCCCTTTTCTGTTGGGCTGTCAGGGTTTCTGTTCACAACCTGGTCCCATCAGGTCCATCCTGCCTTTTCTCCTGCCCCAAAGCACAGACCCCTTCCAGTACATCTGGGAGGGTCTGGAGGAGGGAGAGTGTGTGGTTTCAGGAGAGGTGTGGGCTGAGGAGCAGTCTCTGCTGTGGAAAGGATCCTGGTGAGCCAAGAGCTGCTGGAACAAAGGGCCTGCAGCAGCACTTGGTGTAGCAGTGGCACTTGGTGTAGCAGTTCTGGTTCTGTTGTGTTGCTTGTTTGGGTGGGTTTTTTTTTTTTGTCACCTAATTTCTGTTGGTGTAGCAGTTCTGTGACTCTGTCACGTACCCATCAGTTGTCCTCCAGTGTGGTTTTTGTCCTTTAAAGCTTTGCCACCATTGAGCTGGGACAGTGCTTTAACGTGCTCTAAATTTGGAATTGAGGTTTCTCTCTATATGGTCCTTAATGGAAAGATGTCATTTTTAGAAAACTGAGCAGAAATGCCTTTGGCCCAGCAGGAATTGAGGACCCTTCTGAATACCAAGTCCTACACTCAGCTTTATTTCTTACTCTGTTTTCTGTTGTCTTCAGGTGATACTTATAATCCATGAAATCCAGCAAGAGAGAAATGTTCTGTGAAGCAAACCCAATGACTGTATAGTGTGACAGGAAATGCAGGTTGTGAGGATTTTTGGAACATTGCTGTTGGGATTAACTTGAATAAGCCAGACAGGTCATGAGTGTCTGCAAATGGCATCACTTCTACACAAGTCATGGTTTAGTGCCAAAACACAACTTAATGCCCTGCCTGACTGTTATTATATATGTGCTGCTGCAACTACCATATTTCTCACCTCTTGCCTTTCATCTTTTAAAATCAATTGTTTCTATTATTCTTTGCTTTTAATAATAATAATAAAAAAAAAGGCCAAAAATATCCCCACCTCTTTTTCAGTACTTGATTTTGTCCAGGCACATAGCAAAATTAAAGATTGTTGGTGTCTGTACTGAGAATAAAAATCTAAGTGCTTTAATATATTTTTTTCTCCACTAATGCAATTGATGTAAATTGCGAATATTCTTTACCAGCCTCAATGTGAAAACTTTATGCACTTTTCAGGATGAAATAAATTTGCCTAAGTGGTGGTATTCTCACATCAATGTCAAGCCAACAGGCCATGATGGACCTGGGAGAAACACTGCTGCTGGCACAGAAATCCAGAGAAGGACTGGTTTGGCTTTGCCTGTTTCCTCATGATGGCTGGTGCTGCAGCTTTGAGTGGAAAGTGGAGAACTGGATTTGTCTTGGGAGATGTTGGGCTTAAAGCAAACTCAGCAAAGCCAAATACATTCCTTGGATCATGCCAAAAAAGGCTTTAAAAATAACAGCTTCCTCTGGGGGCTTGTCTGTATAACACCAAAAGGAAAAGAGTAAAGCCATAAGGCAGCCAGTATGGCCCAGTATGGCTGTGCCTGAGGAGTGCTGTGTTTGTGGGGTGTTTCAGAGCTTGCTTTAGTCATTGAACTTTCACCAGTGTTTGATGGAGTTTGTTGGGGCTGCTCTCACACAAGTGTGGGGGTGTGAGGAGACCTTGGGTGGGGAGAGCTAAGTAAGTGTGCCCCTGGCAATGGCAGCAGTGGCTGCCCAGTGGTGTGCAAGGGAATGAAAATAAGAGTAGCTGCCAAGGTGTGTCTCACCCTATGGCTGGCCACTGGCTTGGAGGGTGGAGATCCCTCAGTACAGATCCCATTGTGAATGGGGAAATCTGGGTGTGGGCTCTCCCAAATCACCTGGCTCTGCTGATGGTGTTCCCTGGTTCTCTTGGGTGTTGGCTGTCGATCTGTTGGGTTTACTGGGAACTGACTCCTTGAGTGCTTTCTCCCCTCTTCACCCTGGCCCTTCCTTCTGCTGAGGTTATTTGTTTGTTTTTCAGATGAGACCCTTTTTGCTCTTCCTGCTACACCTGCGCCTCTGATGCACTCCTCTGCAGGCAAGTTCTTTCTGCTCCCCTTTGTCTGAGTACCTCCTGCCTTTCTGACCTCATTAACCCTTTCCCACTAGTCTGCTTCTACTAAAAGTCAGCATGGGTCCAAGAATAGCCTCTGTTCACATTTTTCAGTTTGGACTTTTTGGTTGATCTATTCCAGATTTTAATATGTATTCATTTGTTAACATTGTAAACTGTTTTATAAACAAGAATCCAGCCATCTGTGAATTCTTGGACCCTTGATGTAGGAGAGAAGTTGGTACTGTTAACAGGTTAATACCTCAGAGCATAGTTGCTTTACTGATTTAGCAGAAAGATTTAATCTATAGTGACTTTCTGCAGTATTTTAAAGAAGTAACATTTTCACCTATAGTATTGATTTAGTGGTTTTTATTAAGTGCACCATCCACAAATTTTAAAAAAGGTGTCAAAAAAAGGCTTTGCTGGCACATGTTTGTGCAATATGTTTATGCCCAAGCATCCACACACCCCCTGTCTCTGTCTGCCCTTGCCACCCTCCTGTTCTGGCTTTGTTAATATTGCCCCTGTACTGTCTGACATCTTCAGCTTTACTGAGATCTTTGCACTGCATAAAGTTGCTGCTCCTTGAGCCTCTCGCTCACTTCTCTGCTAGAAGTGAAGTAGAGTAGCTTTAAGTGATAGTGTGTATTAATGGCTCATAGTATCCACGCTAGAGCTTGGGAGAGCCTTTTAATAGCTAAAATCATGTGAACCTGTTGAAAGTTTGCACTGACTTTAAGAGCACTTGCATTCTCTAACTTTCCTTTCTATCCATGGTCACAGAAAAAGTTATGGACTTGCAGGAGCAGCCAGGTAGCACTAAGGCGCTGGGGCAAGAGGATTTTACTGCAGTCCCGCTTGAGCCTGCTCCTTCTCTTCCCTCCTTCTCTCCTCTCTCAGCTGATCCCTTTAAAGAGCACGCAGCCTTTGGTACCCTCTCAGATGGATTTCCTGCAAGAGGCACTTACAAAGAGAGCTCCAGTGAGGTTTATAAAGAACCTATGAAAAATGCCACAAACCCCTTTCTTGCAGAGGGAAATGAAAAAGACATTTCTGAGATGAAATACTCACAGCCCCCATTTGCTAAAGAAGCAGCAGCCATTTTATCTCCAGCTAAAGAAAAAACACAGCTAGAGGGCCCTGAAGAATTACCTAACCTGGAGAAAACACCTGCAGAGCAGCTGAAAATGTCTCCAGAGTCTCCCCAAGATATATTTGAAAGAAACGAGGAAGATCTCTTCTATAACAAAGACAAGTACAGAGGAGGTGGTGATCATGTTGAAAAAGGGGTGCTGAAAGAAGACCCTCTTAGGAGGGAAGAATATGCAGACTTCAAACCATTTGAGCCAATATGGGAAGTCAAAGGTGCTAGTCATGGACTGAGCAGCATGAGAGAGGATGTTGGAAGGAAGATAGATGCCAAGCTGGAGAGCAGTTTGGATGACAAGTATGGCGTGGGTAAGCTGACTGTGCAGAAGGATTACGAAAGAGACAGTGAAGGCAGTGCTGAAGAGCCCTCCTTCCCAAGCACCCCAGAAGCTGTAAAAGAACCTTACATCACTTGTACTAAATTTGACTCTTCTCCAAGTCCTGGTGGTAACAAAGGCAAATCTCTTTCTCCACTAGAGGAAGGCATTTCAGAAAATAGAACCGACGATGAGAAAAAAATTGCAGAACTGAAAGCTCAGACGGGCCCAGAGCAAGGTGATTTTGCTGCTGGAGCAGGTGGGCAGGAAGGGCAGGGAGCTGACGCTGCTAAAGCACAGGGGGTCCTGCCAGTGACACCTGACAGCACCACAAACATGCCCGAGGGTCTCACTCCTGACCTGGTGCAGGAGGCCTACGAGATGCACGATGCAGCCTGCACAAAGCTGGCTTACGAAACCAAGATCGATTTGGTGCAAACCTCGGAGGCGGCGCAGGAGACTCTGAAACCTGCGGCACAAATCTGCCCCTCCTTCGAAGGCTCGGAGGCCGCTCCGTCGCCCATATTGCCCGATATTGTTATGGAAGCACCGCTGAGCACCGGCACTGCTGGGGCAGAGGCATCTGCTGTGCAGCTGGAAGCTTCCCCACTAGAAACATTTATGCCCACTGCCAAGTATGAGAATGTAAAAGAGGCTGAAAAACCTCCTGTATACCAAGAGGCAGTGAATGTCCCACTGACACAGGCCCAGGAAGCAAAGGAGACATTGGCGTTTAAGCAACCGGACGATGAGAGTAGCACCACTCCTGAAGATCTGGAGACTCCTTATATATCTATTGCATGTGACTTAATTAAGGGAACAAAGGTCTCTGGTGAATCTCCTTCTCCATCTTTCACAGAGTATTCAAAGACACCAGTAGCAGAAAGCATTTCTCAGGATGTGCCTGAAGACAAGGAACTAGATGGAACCCCGTCTCCACAGTTTGGAAAAGCTGGCCTGTTTAATAGCCAAATGATATCTGACTTTGCTGAGGAAGCAAGTGAAGATCCATCTCTCCTCTTAAAAAGTAAATCCACTGAGAGTATTGCAACTGATGAAGAACATGAGGAGGAAGGACTGGTGGATTCAGTAGCTGCCACGGGCAAGCCTTATCTAGAGTCATTCCAACCCGAGCTGGACTCTTCCAAAATTGTTGCTGCTCCACCATCTGAGCCAATACCTGCAAAAATAGCCAAGGCAGATAAGATTCCTCTTCAAATGGAAGAGCTGGATGCTTTGGCTTATTCAGCTGATGTATCTGTTGCTATGGAACCAAAAACGGGAGATGACAAAGCTCTCTCACCCATGGAGTCTTCCCCAGTCTCAGTGGAAGAAGACTTTGTGATGTTAGGACACCCTAAAGCTGTTCCTGAGTTTGTGACAGAAGCCACTGACCAAGAAACGATGCACAAAGATGAAGACATCAGTAAGGTGATGCAGGGTGAGAAGCAGCTGCCTTGCCCAGAGCTGCCCTGTGATCTGTCTGTGAAGAATGTAGAAGTAAAAGCTGAGGAAGACAGCAATGCCTTGAAAAAGTCTTTGGAGGCTGTGGACAGAGAAGTGCCTGAAGTATCCACCATGTCCTTACCAGCCACAGATACCTCACCTTTATCTGCTGAAAAAGAGATAGTCAGTGTAGTAAAACCAGGAGCTTTTGAGAAGGAAGCTGAGAAAGAAGCTGCTTCTGTTAAAGAAAAGAAAAAACCTACTGCTGTATTTTCAGCAAAGCTGAATAAGTCTTCAGGTAATCTGTGTATGCTGTCTTGCAGTTTGCTGATCTGCATAATTCTTTAGCTAAACTTAAGCATGCCTTGACTTATTCTTTTTAAATCACTTTCTGTAAACTTCTCTGTAGGCCAAGGGTAACAGAAAATGTCAGTGCCTGCACTTGTACCTTTTTCATATTCTGATTGCTTTAGTACCTTTTTTCTGTTTATCAGGGATGGACTCAGCATCTCCAGGTTTCTCCTCCAGATCTGCTGCTCATTGTCTGTGGATGCAGAAATAAGTGACTGCAGTGACTGCCCACTGCAGGCCCTTCCATGGTTGTCCCCAGGCTGGGCATGGGGTGGCCTCCCAACCTCTGAATCTGGGGTGCTGTGTGCACATGATTTGAAGAGGCATTTCTTCCTTTTCATTAACAGTTCAGACATCAGAGTGTAAAACTCAGGAAAATACCCCTGCTGCTCCTGTGTGTGCCTGGAATCTGGAAAAGAGTCTGTGAATCTCCAGCCTGTGGTTTAAACAAAGGGTGAACATGAGGGAGCTTAGTGTGCAGGTTATACTGAAAAAGTGGTCATTAAGTTGAGTGTTCTGCAAACACTAAAATTGGTTTCTGTACAGCACAGGTATTAATTTCTGTTTATCTTTTCAGGTGGGCTTGCACTTCAGTATAGTTAATTTTTCTTACAGTAATGTGCAGTTATAGTATCAGGGAGTTGTAATCTTTTCTCTAAACTGAACACCTCATGATTTCCCAGCTTTTTGTAGTCTAGAGGAGTATTTTGTTTTTTGATATTGCAGCACTCTGCTGCTACTTAAGCTTTGACCAGAAGCAAGCACACCAAAAAAAAAAAACACCTACTGCAGAAAGCACAGTGCTCTAAATAGAAAAGCAGGAGATAGTTTGACTCAGCAGCAGTACTGTATTTATGCAGTAGCTGCAGCCTACAGTTCATAAAATAGGATTACAGAATACCCTGAGTTAGAAGGGAACAGCAGGTGCATGTTGAAGTGAACATCAGTGTTGGTGCCATTGAAACAGGTTTGGGAAATAAGGTAAAGATGTATTTTTTTTATATTTACCTTTGCCATTTCTCCTGTCTCACCTCCTCTATACGTACAGGTAAGGCAGAAAGGAGAGAGTTTTGCTTTTCCCTTGGCTTGGGATAAAACTTCATTGATAAATCTGCATTGTTAAAACTCCTGGTGTGTTCTGTGAAGGCTCCTCAGGCCTCCAGCAGATAGACCTGTCTAGAGAGCAGCTGTATGTCTTGGGCTTCATGTCAAGGGGTTAATGGCTTGGAGCTCAGACTACTTAAAAAAAAAGCTAAAGCAAACCACTGCACTTAATAGAAGAGCTTTTGTGTTAGTTTTTCTAAAGGGAGACCTTTGGAAGGGTCTTTAATCGTTGCATAGATGCAGCAGGCTGGGGGTGGCAGCCCCTCCCTGTGGCCCTGAGGTGACACAGCTGCTGCTCTCCCATCTGTGGGAAGCTGCCCCAGAAGCTGCACAGACCCAGCTGCCAGAGCAGAGAGGATTTGAGCAGTGCCATTGCTCTGCCATCCATGGCCCAGTGCAGGGACAGGGCCCAGCTCTGTCCTGTGTGCTGGGAGCTGCAGCCTCTCACTGTTGTGTTCACTCTGGAGAGCAGCTGCACTTTGCCTTTCTGACAGGCTATGTTGTTTGGGAAGAAATTTTTTTGCTTTACACCAGAGGAACACTTGCTTAAAGCTAAATAGATGAGAATACTGACTCAAAAATGGACCTTTTTCTTCTGGATTTTTCTCCACACTCTGTTGTGTTGCAAAATACAGAACTGGACTTCTGAGAGAAGCCACAAACAACATCAGTTGTCTGCTTTAAATACCACACTGCTTAGGCACAATTTCATTGAAGAACTAACAAGGAGGGATTGTTCATCACAAGGCCAAGTGCATTTGTGCATGTGTTTGGCCTTCTGAGTCTACCTTTGTTCTTTGGGTTTTTTTTTTCCTGCCCATCAGTGGAACTGAAATAGATTTCACTGTGTCTTAAGACTTGTGGAATTCAGCTGGTGTGATGGTGTGACTGATGCTTGTTAAAGCTTTAATCTGAGCTGCCTTACTGGTGCACTTAAATCCAAGGTTGTGGAATGCTTACTTAACAGTGCTGGTTTTTGGAAGCTAACCTAAATGCCAGTGTGTTGTAACTTCCCACAGCCCCAGTGGACTGTGGGGAGCTAACAGGGGTTCTAAAAAGGTTGCAGATACTTCTTTAACTTATCCAGCTCACTGAAGCAAATGTAAAGCTTTGAAAAGTATCCTGGGTAGAAGGAGGTTTGTTAAATGGTGCCTGGCACAGCCTTGGGTAACCTGGACAGATTTAAGAAACACAAAAGCAAAAAATCCCAAACCCAGAACTGTATGTAAAACTGGAACAATTTTAAGGGCAAGCAACCCCTGCAACACCAGCAATTTCTGCTGTCTTGAATACAGTGATTTCCCCCCCCCCCCAAGTTTGTATTTCTCAGTAGCTGCTGTATTTGGCTTTGAGCAAACAGCCTCGCTTCTCTGTCCCCCTCCCTAGACTCAAACTGGCATTCCTGAGCTCCATCAGAGCACTGCCTCGTAAGCTGGGAGCTCCGAGGGCAGGTCCTGGGGGTGCAGGTGCTGCTGCCCAGCTCCCGCAGGAGGTGTGAGCACCAGGCATGGGGAGCCATGGATCAGGGCCAGCCTGTGGGACAGGGCTCTGATGCCATCTAGTGTTTGTCACCGCGGTGGGACCTCAGTGCCTGCCGGACAGGAAGGGATCCATCAGGTTTGGAGAAATTCCCAACTCCTGAAATGAGTTTGAGAGGTGAAAGCTAAATATACACATTACCTATCCCAGCCCTTCTGTTGCACAGACTTTCTTCTCTCATACAGAGCATTATTAATCCTTCCCAAGCCCATGCTTTCCACAAACCTGGTTTTGATTGATGGGATGTGGAGGTTTTTATATTATTGATATTATTGAATTATAGACTCAAAACCTCTGGCCACAACAAAGTTATGTACTAAAATGGAAATTGGCAGTTTAAATCCCTCAGTGTGTCCATGCTGAGTATTACAATAATATTTAGAAGTAACGTTGAGATCTTTACCATCAAGACACTCAGTTTCCCAGAACACCCTTGTTTTATGGTGGGTTTGACCACAAGCTCTGTAGACATTCCCTTCAGATTAAATCTAACTGGTTATTTGCTTTCATTACAGGCACTCAGAAATGCAGCTAATTAATAATATTTTACATTTCCTGGATTTTCATGGAGGGGCAAATACAAAGGTGAAGCCCAGTGGGAAATGTGCTTTGAGAGGGTGGTACTAATGCTGAATCTTTCTTTTTTCTCCTACAACATGGGGGCAGAAACCAAATACTTCCTGTGATGCTGTAATAGAAACCAGGTCATTGCAGTTGTGTGAATCTTAAAGGACATGAGAAGTTCTGCCTGATACCAGCTGTATCCACTTGGGGGATTTCTGTCATTTTCTGTGTTTGTGGTGAGTTAAATGGCACCACTCAGCAGATAGATGTTTGGGTTTGTTTGTTGTTTTTCACTGGAGAAAAAAATGAGGGGAACATCTCTGAGTTTCTTTCAGAAGCAGATTGGTAAAATTCCATTTAATTCACCATAAAATATCTCGATTTAATTTCATCTCATTGTACTCTTAGATTCTTTGCTTGTTCAGGTCATCTTTTATGCTACCAGGTAAATAGTAATAAATGGAGAGTTCCAGAGGGAAGAGAATTTGCAGAGGAGGAATGAGGGAAAAAACCAAACCCAACGAGTGAAATGTCTCTGAAGGAAGGACACAGAGCTGCTGTGTTTTATTAGAGCTCTTGTGCCCCTGTTGAGAGGCAAAGACTTGTGCCATGAGGCTGCTAAAAGAGCAAAGCCTGAGGAAGTTCCTTCAGAGTGGCACAATTAGGGAGAAAATGGAGCATTTGGGCCAAGTTGCCAACTCTGCCAGGTAGGCACCAGCACAGAGGGATCTGCAGGGCTCTTCTCAGTGCCCTACTCAGGGTGTTCAATGTGTGAGTAGGGAGTGAGTAAAGCACTCACCCTGCCAGGCAGGGCTCCGTGGAGCTGGGGTGTGCCATGACACGTGTCCAGAACTGATTGTGTCTGACTGCTCTGGGGGACCTGATAATGGCACCTCCTCTGTACTTGGTGTTCAAACGTGCTCTAGGGGCAGGGCTGCAGTATCCCTGCTGAAAACAGAGCTCCTCCTGAGGTTTGCCACTGCTGGTGCCCAGGTTATGTGCAGAGTAGGGGCCCCTCTTGCCTGAGATGGGCTCATTCTGGGTGTGTTTGCATGGAGGGGTGAGAATGAGCACCGAGTATGCAGAGAGGCAAGAGGAGGATCTGGAGGCCAGGGAGGCACTCCTGGGGGCAGTGAGGGACACTGGAGATGGGACAAACAGGACTGGTGGTGCAGCTGCTCTGCTGTGGCCACAACAAACTCTGGTTAGAGTTGCATAAGTGCACTATGTTAAGTATAAGATATAAAGAATATAAACATGAAATGAAGAAGCTTTAATTTGATATCTTTGGAAATTTGATAATTAATGGAAAGACCTTTGAAAGCACAATGTTTTTGGTAAGTTTAGTGACAGTGAAATATGGAGGGGGACTCAGGTTTTGGTGGTTTCCAGTTCAGCTTGAAGACAGACACAGATTCTCAGACATATTTTGTACTTTTATTTTTTTGTACAGTGCAACTTTTCACGTTTGCTTGCACTGTGATGTTTGAATCTACACTCTCTACTTCCCTCCTATTTTGGATTTGTTTGGATTTACCTGTTGAAAATGGGACTGAAATGCACATCCTTGTATAAGTTAAAAAGAGATGTAACTGGTCTTGCTGTCAAAGGAGGCCTTAAATTTATGTAGCAGTTGAAGTCAAAACCAGGGGGTTTGGGTCTCTTTGTAGTAATCTTTCTCAATGCAAGATTGTGCTACTAAAAAGTGAAACTGTCAATTTAATCTGAATTGGGATCTCT